TTGTGGGGGGGGGGGGGGACACAAGATTTGAATTCTTCCTTAATGGCATCAGGTCCTTTTCTTTAATATGAAGATCTTTTTGTTTGTTTATACATCAACTTCACAAACTCTAGATGTGAAAAGGAAACTTGAGCAATAATTAATATAGGTGTCGGCCATTGGGCATAATTCCCTCTTCAACCATGAACACTTTATGAACAGACCGCATTGGCGATGCCTGATTCCTGGGCATTCCCATGAATCTGCTAAAGGTGAAAGCTTTGATCTTTACACTGCATACAGATTTCCGGGTCACGGCCAGAATCGGCCGATATCTCTCGTGGTGCCCGGTTGGATTAGAATGCAACAATATGTAAGCAAGGATGAACAAAAAAACCAAACCGCATAAGTTCAGTTCAGTTCAGTTTTATGTTCAAGCACATACATAAGATCAAGACACATCTTAAGAGAGTGTAAAAGCATATACTAGAGAAGCAGCAGACCTTAGGTAAAACTAGCAATAGAGAGCTCAAACCAGACCTGGTTATGGAGATGGCGGCCAGAGGTAAGGCTCGAAATCCGAGTTCAGTCTTTCTGCGTAAAATGCGCCTTCAAATCCGAAATCAATCTCGTCTTCGTAAAACTCACCCATTTCGCCATCAAGAAACTCCCAGGCCAAGTATTCAGACCCATCTGAGAAATAATCCGAACAGTCCTCCCAATCGTTCATCATTTCATAGAATCCGACCACTCGGGGGCCTAACACCTTCAGATTCGGGAACTTTTCCTTGAAGAACTTGCTGTCGAGCTGCACGTCCCAACAGCCCCTCAGTTCCAAGAACTCAAGGGAAGGGCAGCTGGATAAGATCTTGAGCACTCCTTCAGTGCTAACTCGGAGGTAGGCCATCTCTAGACGCTTGAGCTTTGGCATCGAGTTGGCGATTGCGTAAGCTTCGTCGTCGTGAGAGCTGACACTTGCTACGTCTAACGGGTGCATGTTCCTGCAGAACTCTACAAGAGATTTACAGTGCTTTCCAATGGCTTCTATGGCCGGGGAACCTAGCTTGCAGCAGTAACTCAAGTCCAAGAAAGTGAGTGTCGAAAGCTTTTCGGCTACCTCTTCCACGACCGAATCGCTCAGATCACTTCTCGGTACCCTCAACATTCTAAGCGAACCGGCACTAACCAAAACAAAGAAAAGGGCAACATATATTAGTCAGAAAGGTCAAAGACCATAAAGGAATTATAGCTCTGATACAGTTTTCCTCAAACTTATCACAACAAAATGAAACTAGAAACCCTCTGATCCAGCTCCAGATTACCAGAGAAGGAGAGAGATTTTCTAAATTATCTAAAATGAAGGAAAGATCCATTGACAGTGACACTAAAACCCAAAACTTCAGCTTCCATATCGCCATGGAAGAGATCAATTCATGCTTCAAACAAGAAGACAAGACCAAGAACCAAAAGAAACAAATTCCAACTTACTGCTGAGCAATGAAGGAGAAGATAGAATCATTCTGGAGGCCAGTGACTGCGAGCTTGCGGAGAGAGCCGGAGCTCCTTGTGATCAGCGTCTGAAGCATTCGATCTAGATGGTGAGGTTCATGGCGGCGATTGCTCCAAAGCTCAATGTCAATCTCTTGCCAGCAATAAGGTCCGTTTACAGCTCGGTTCCATGCTTTGCAAACCCTAGGGACGACTGTCAGGACCTCTTGGAGGGGCAAGTTCCTAAAGATTAAGCCGAGTGCGTCCGGGATTAACTCGTCCCAGTGCCGAAACTCGCTTTCCTCTTCCATCTAGAGATTTCTGGTTCCACACAAGATGATGGTTGATTAGTAGGTGAAAGAAGGGAAAAAACGCAGCTTTCTGCACTCAAGAATCCATGTAACAAAAAGGATGAAGCTTTTTGTTTTTAATCATGAAAGGATGGGAATAGATAGTGAAACCCACCAAAATCCGAGAAATATGCAATCGTGTACATAGAGCAATGATCTTTTTTTTTTGGCCCTCTTTCGTGGGCGGACAAGACACACATGAACTTAACTCAAGAATCCAAGAAACCCAGATGAACAAGAATGCTCGAGAAATGAAACAAATCAAGAAAGCTGGAAACCCACCGAATGGTAAGCCGACAATTAAGGGAACAGGAACAACAGACGAGCTTAATGCACGGAAACAACGTGAAAAATTCGAAACAAAGACTCCTTATAAAAGTTCGATGAAGAAGAAGAAGAAGAAGAGACGGAGGAAATGCTACCTTCTTTTGCTTATCATCTCCCACTGCAAAAGGATCAGAAAACAGAGATCTGAAAAAAAAAGGTTCAAAAAAAAAAGAAGACCTCGAAATCAGAGGGTTTAACCAGCGGTGATTACTGGAATTGGAAACAGAAGTATTTAAAGGGAAAAAAAAGGAAGCTACTTTTTTCCCAGAAACAAAATAAAAAAATAATCACACAATGGAAAAAGATTTGGTACTCACTCGCACTTGGGCAAAGACTAAAAAAACTCCCACTTTGCAAGTCTCTAATGGCAGAAACTTTGTCTGAGATTTTGGATTAGCCGAAGAGGGTGTCACCGTTTTATCCGCCCCAGAAGCCAAGAGGTAAGAGGAAGAACCAAAGGAGGATATAAGAGAGAGAGAGAGAGAGAGAGAGATGTGATTAGAGCAATCTACCCAACTAACCTCACAAACATCAATTACAACCCAACAACAAGAACTATCGACGGTTAAAAAAAACAACTCAGTAAAAAATTTCCCCCAAATTTCCAAGCCTTAATAAAGACTATAGGAGAAAAAAACAAATACCCTGAAAAGGAAGACAGTAACAATTGTCCGTCCATTCCCACCATTGAAGAACTAGAAAACAGTTCCCACTGTTTTTAACGCCAGAAAAAAAAAGGCTTTCATATACACGATCCCGTATCCCACAACCCAATCCTGAACAGCAATTTAAAAAAAAATCTTTTTTTTTATTTACGTCTCTCGGGAAAACGCAAAGGAAGCGATAAAATTATTAAAGTAACAGAGAATAAGAAAATAGCTTTTCATTATACCTCTCCGTGTGGGAAATGGTATGGGTACCGTGGAAAATGGGTGTTACTGCTGACTCTGGAGAAAAATGGGCATTAATAAGTGCAGAGGTTGGAGAATTATTTTCGGAAACGCGGTAAATTTACTGGCACGTGGCGGTTAATATCTGACCGGATCTCGACAAGTGTCATTAGATACCGCAAAGTGCAGCGTTGACTCCTTGACTGTCTCTATTACCCTCAAATCGAATCTTCTGTCTCATAAAGAAGCTTTAGATGAGAACCATACGTTTACAAAACCGGAATAGAATAGAGTCGGCATGTCACTGAGATGCATGTATACAATGGGCACCTCACAAACCGATGTCTCTAAAGATAACGACTATAATATTGTGCTTAGCGATCCAAACGCAAACGCAAATTATACAATGTGTTAAACGCTGAAACTAAACGGTTACAATCACAACCAATCAGTCTCTCAAATTGCATATCGCTACGGAAAGGAACAAAGACAAGTAGACAAAAAACAAAGGCATGAGAAGTAAGTAGATGTACCTAACACAATGGCAAAGGGGATGAGTCGTAATGAATGGAGGAGGAGAGGCCTACGTACATAAATGAACTCTGGCAGAGAGACATTAAGCCCTCTGCATCTCTCACAAAGCTCCAAGAACAACCTCAGGCTCAGATCGAGTTAATACACTCTAATGTACGGTTGTGCTCTTATTGTTTCGCTTTCCGTCAAACCCGACCGAGTAACCCAGATTGGAAAACTGTAGCCCTGCCGCAGGATATATCGGATGCTAGGTCATTTCACTCTTCCCTGCAAAATGAAGATTTGCAATGTTACTACCAATCATGCTCATGCGGCGGATCATGCGAAAACCAAAGAGTTGAAACATCCAGTCTTTTCGAGCATGAAACCGAATGTAAACAAAGAACCCAGATCGGCAAAGACACGGGTACTACAGATGTCGTCAAAGAACAAGAAGGGCATGGAAAGGACATGTTCGAGTTGATTAGCCCGTTGTTTAACTCAGATGACTCATGCCAGTGAGCTCGCTATCTTGAATGCAAGCCTTCCGCATTGATGATTGCAGACTTGCAGTTAATGAAACCAAAATAACGTGCCATAAAATAATCCAATCCTCCAAGGTATAGACAATATAAACCACAATCCACTGCGCCCTTGAGGTTTCTCCATCTCAATGAACAGCTCAATAGCCTCAATTATACAAACACAGTTAAAAAGCAACGATTCTTGTCAGAACAGAGAGAAGAACTGGACGTATTGAACGACTCAAATAGCTTGCAGAGCTAGCTATCGTGAATCTATAAATGTAATCCAGTAAATTCTCAAGGGGTTTCCGGCCAAAGATTATCCACAAAAAGTGCCGTGCTAGAAATGAATCCCACATGAAAGATAAGTCAAATCAAATTCACAATCCATTGAAAGCTTAAGGCTTTTCCAGCTAACATGACCAGCAACAATCACACTAAAGCAATGAGAAGCTACACTTTCCATAATCAGTGGGAGTAAAATCGTACCAGTTGATGAGCCATCCAAACAGAAAATGCTGCATAATGGGCACTTTTTCGAGCACCTCAACTTTGTACATCTTCAGCAGTCCACTGTTCACCTTCTTCCAGTTCGGCACCCCACTGATATCGTCCAACAAAGGTGAGTGCTCTGAGAACAAACCCTTTTTCACCTTCTTCACATAGCCAATACAGGATAAATACATGTATTCATTCGAGAAATTCTCCAGAATGTCATCGTTGTGGATCGATTTCGGCTTCATATACTTGTGATCAATCAATTGAGAGCTCCCGAATATGAAGGGTAAGAAGTGGTAATCATCAAGCCCCCATACTCCATGAGATCCAGCAGGCTCTAAGCTGTAAACCATCTGCAATTTCCGCATCAATTCCAGATACTTTACGAAAACCCTAGCAACCACAGCGTGATAATCCTCTTCCTTAATGATCCCCATCCTCGCCAAGCAATACAACCACGCAGCGAAATTTGTTTCGTGACCAGTTCCATAATCGATCCTGCTCGCGTTTCCGAAGCTATCAGAGAAGTACGGAACAATCTCGACCGTCGATCCCTTGAACTCCTCGGGGAGAAACCCAAGCATCAGCAACTCGCCCTTCTCATCGAGCCTCTCGTGCCAAGTCCGATACGAGACGTTCCCATATCGCGAGGACTGTTGAGCCGGAGGAATCTCGTCAATCCACTGCACCATAGCTTCGAGGATGGAGACTATGGCGGCGACGGTCGGGGACACGTGGCACGGATCAGATATCTTGTGGCCACGGATCGACTCCGACAGAGCGACAACGAAACCAAGGAAGTTCTTTCCAGAGGCGGATTCATGGAAGCGGCGGATATCGTCCGGCGAGTGAATCCGCTTCACGGGGCACTCGAAGTGATACGGCGGAGAGATGAGGGGAACTTTCTCGGCGTGAGGAACCGGAGCAAGGATGATCGCCTGGGAATTTTTTGGCGGGAGATTGATAGCCGGAGCACGGATCGGCACGTAGTTAGGCGGCGGCGACATCTCCGGCCACGACGTCGGTGGTTGTGGATCGCAGGTCGTCGGTCCACCGCAGTTGGCACAGCATCCAGTGGGAGGAGAGACGAAGGTCACCGGAGACGGACCGTCGGAGGGAGATTTCTCCGGCGTCTGCTGGTCCATCGGCGGGGGCATTTCGCAGTTTCAGAAACGCAGCAATTTTCAGAAAAATTCGGGGAAAGACATCTGAGAAATAATCCGAACAGTCCTCCCAATCGTTCATCATTTCATAGAATCCGACCACTCGGGGGCCTAACACCTTCAGATTCGGGAACTTTTCCTTGAAGAACTTGCTGTCGAGCTGCACGTCCCAACAGCCCCTCAGTTCCAAGAACTCAAGGGAAGGGCAGCTGGATAAGATCTTGAGCACTCCTTCAGTGCTAACTCGGAGGTAAGAGTAGCACAAGGGAAATGCATCACGCTTTTGAAAAAATATTGATCATTTGATCAGCCTACGTGGCGAAATCTTCACCGTCGATTCTCGCTTGAAAGATTAGACGCGTTTATATGAATTTAAAAATAAAGGGGAAGATTCGATGGGCCTGGTGCACGCATATACTGTCAAATTACAATGGGCAGTGGGCTATGGGCTATTGGGTCCATTCCATCTAGGGTCTGACCTCGAAGATAGGGGTAAAATGGTAAAATCAGTGTATGAGGGCTTACAGCCGGATGCCACCGAGGAAAGTTGACAGAATGGAGGAGGGACCAGAGAGAGGGGCCAAGCGAACAAATAGGTCAGTGAAGTTCGGTTGGTCCACTTATTTGAATTCTAATTCCAACATCGATACAGAGGAAATTACATTATTGGAACGTGACTCTCACGTGATCCGATGGAAGAAAAAAAACCCATCAATTTATTTATTTATGTTCGGAATTACGAGGACCCCGTCTTGGTTTGGCTCTTGGGATTCCGACATTTCGCATGTATCATACTTTATCTCTTTCCAAGTAGACCCATCTTTGTTTATTTATCCATTTCGTATCAATTACTATACGAAATACTAGTACGTGCATAAAGCAATACTTCCATCATTTTTTTTTATACATCTTTGGTTTTTTTAAATCCATTATTGTATTTCCAATTACAAGGAAATATTATTTTGACTGATATAGCAAAATATCATTCCTTCTTGATAGAAAATGGCACCACTAATCTCTGCATTACTTTTCCAAAAATGAAAATTTTTATTAACGAATAAAAGAATCACACATTATACGAATTATTTCTACCGTAGACTGTTACATTAAGATAATCGCCTCTATCTCTCCTCCCTTAGACCAGAGTAGAGCAAACCGACGTCGTAGGGTCATAAAGAGCAGGAAGCATGAACTTCCTGCCGTTTGCGCCATACGCGTTGAAACTACCTCCCGTTTCAGAATCCACTAGCAAGTTCCCAGCGTAACCAGGATAAGCCCCTTTGCCGTACACGCCGGGACAAGCCGTAGCCGCCTCTAGCGGCGCCGTTTGGGGACCCTGAAAGTAGCCATTTCCGAACGGGTTCG